ACAAACATGTCTCCAATGAAGATACACAAATGGTCCCAAGTACATGCAAAGATGTACATTAATCATTAATAATTAAGAAAATGTATATCAAAACCACCATGAGATACCACTTCACATTTACCATGCTGGCTACAATAAAAAGAAAGATAATAGCAAGTTTTGGGAAGGATGTGAAGAAACTGGAATACTTGTACACTGCTGATAGTAATATAAAATACTGCAGTTACTATGGAAACATTTTCCTGGTTCCTTAAGAAGTTAAACACAAGATTACTATACGATCTAGCAACTCTATGCCTAGGTATATATACACCCAAGAGAAATGAAAATATATGCCCACACAGAAGCTCGTACATGAGTGGAGTGTCTACAATAACATCATTGGTAACATCCAAGCAGAATTCAAATGTCCATTAACAGAAAATTCATAAATGGCAGAACCATATAACTATTACCTTATTAATATTCACCCATAAACAGGAGTGAAGTATTGATACACATTACAGCACGGTTGAACTGTAAGACACTATGCTAAGTGAAAGAAGCTACACATTTACAGGTGATAGTTGGATAATATTGTGAATGTGCTAAATGCCACTGAAATGTACACTCTTTAAGATGGTTAATTTAGGGTTATATAATTTCACCTCAATCAACAAACAAATCTGCATCTAGGAATACAAATTACATCTACAGCCGTTCTGTCAGTGTCATATAGTTGCTGTGCTTCAATATACTGTAGGTTCACCACAGGGAGGATGGTCCCCTTTTAGTAGTAGATCACTGACAGACACCATGAGCAGAATGCAAAGCATTGACACATATACCTGATGCAATTACACATACCTGACTCTTTCTGAAATTTTTAAAATGCTTATACAAATAGACCTCCTCACTTCTTTATGGCTTTGACTGACATACCCACACCATGCTTTATCCACACTGACAACATATTGATTCTGTCCACCCAACTCAGGCTAAGGCTTTTGAGCTTGAGCAGTCACTTGGGCAATAGTCACTTCTCTTAAAAAAATTCATTTTGTTCTAAGAAATGACATTCAGAGTCTTTTCTGGTATCTTTGGCCTTTATCTTTCTAAATCAACCTTCAAGCTTGGCATGGTGGTGCATGCCTGGAGTCCCAGCTACTTGAGTGGCTGAGGCAGAGGGATCACATGAGCCCTTGAGTTCAAGGCAAACCTGGGCAACATAGCCAGATCCTTTGTCTCAAAAACTCAAAAACAAGGGAAAAAAAGGCAAAAACCAGCCAGGTGTGGTGGTGTACACCTGTAATCCCAGCACTTGGGAGGCTGAGTCAGGAGGATCGTTGCGAGTTTGAGACCAGCCTGGGCTACAAAGTAAGCTCAAGAATAGCCTGAACTGCATAGCGAGACCTTGCCTCCCAAAAGACAAAAAAAAAAACCCACCAAACCAAAACCAGAGGCTGAGGCAGGATGGTTACAAGTTTAAGACCAGCCTGGGCTATATAGTGAGACCCTGACTCAAAACAAATAAAAAAGATTGGTGATATAACTCAATGATAAAGCTCCCCTGGTTTGAGTCTCTCTAATGCAATGAACAAAAACAAAACAAACTCCAAACCTTTTATCAACCTTCTTCTAGAGCTCCCACATTGCATACCTTATCTCTGGGCTGCTATTTGCATTTAATTCCACATGCTTGCTTTTCTTTTTTTAGTTTTTATCATGTTTATGACAAAGCATTATAAACAGATTTTTCAGCAGCTTTCTTTCTCACTTGCCCTGAGTTGAAGGGAAAGGTGATAGGCCAATGTCGATCATCACACCCAGAAGAAAAATAGGATGGTAAAAATAAAAGATTACTATCTCAAAATGAACCACAATTCTTCTGAAAGTAGAACAAAAGAGAAAATCCATGAGTTTCTATCAAATAGTCATTTTTACTAACATACTCTTTATAACCAAAAAATCAGATTTGTTAAACCACTAACACAACCGAAAAATAATTTTTTCTTAACAGGAAAAGGTTACATCAAATAATAGATTTCAATCACAGAATATTTATTGAGGAATATGTTCCTGGTACTGTGAGACCCATCAATGAGCATAGTCTAGCAGACTTTGGAAGTCTTGCTGAAGGCATATGATTCAACAAAGAGCTCATGTATTTGATAATTTTCTTATACTTTCTAAAAACATCTGGTCAGAGGAAGCACATCTTGCTCATCTTTGTACATCTACTGACTGGTACAGATACTGCTGACTCTGAATGTTTAAGTAGCCTCGTCAAGACCTTTAGTCCCCCCACTGGTGGTGTCCAAGACCTCCTTCCCACACCCTCTGTGTTCGTCTTTCTTCACATGCCTGCCTGGACCAGTGTGGCTGCTCCCCTTTTATAAATATACTTCTCTTCTTCAACTGCTGTTTCCTTTTACAAAAAGGCTTTATTACCTCAGAGGAAGTTTGGATTTACCGTAAGCCACCATCAGAATTGTCAATTGTTTCCTTAATCTACAATATGCACAATCAGTTAGCTTGGTTTTATGTTTATCTATGCTGTTTACAGGAGAAAGACTTCCTTGAAACACAATCTCCCTTTGTGAGCCATAACTCCCCCTCTTACATTCTAGGCTCTGCACCAACACAATGCTTATCTCCAGGTTTAGGAACCATAAAAACCTAACATACAACTCTCAAGTGAAAGAAAAGAGATGTCTGTTACATAAGAGAACATAAAAATTCAAAAAGGAAATATAAATAAATGGAAATGTTAACAAATTAAAATTCAGGGGGGGGCAGAAAGAAAATATTTCAAAAAATCCTAAGAATTTCTTATTTTTATACACTAAAAGCAATGAAAGGATTAAAAATAAAAGATTTAATTAGTATTCTGACTTGGTAGTTTTAAAATAAGGTCTGTGCAACCAAAATGAAGGTTAGAAACAATTGGTATACCCAATGCACAATCCCCATCAGCAAGACACTTTGGGAGGATTTGCAGAAATTCACAATACCAAAAACAGCTTTCAAGTTGCACATCAGGTTTCACCACCACCACAAACATGTGATGTAATAGGACCATCCCATAGTGAGAAGTGAGAGAAAGCAAGATTCAGAAGAATAGACTCTTCACATTTTCAATAAGCATGGGTAAAGAATTAAAGCCATCTCTTAAAATCTCATTCTACCTAATCATTTATTTTCTAAAATGTAGCTAAGTTTGCTCTATTTTTATAATGACCGTTTCTGTCCAAGTGGCTGGATGACGTGGCTTTGGATAGGAATCTTTAGTTCAGACTCTGTGTTTTGCAGTGCTGAGGTTTTTCTGTTCTCCTCCTTAACCATGGGTATTCATTCCAATGCCAGTCTACTAAATGAACTAGCACGGGAGTGTGAGCAGAAAAGTACAGAACATGGCCAAATCTCTGGTTCATTTCTATACCTCAGTGACCTCATATGGTACCCAGTAAACCACTGGTTCTACAGAAACCAGAATGATTCTTGAATAGACAGGGGAAGGACAACAAAACAAAGAGTTAACCAGCTCTACCAACAGTCTCCTTCTCAAAGACTCTGTCCTCTATGGTAGTTTGCCATGTTCCACCCAATAACAGCTGCTCATGATAATCAATGTCTGACAGATCAGAGAAAGCCCTTAATGTGTCGCCAAGGGGCAGTTCAACAGATGGCATGGTGACTTACAACCAGAATCATTAATTACACTCTCTTATTAGTCCCAGGGCACAGTGCTGAAAATGCTTCCTCAGTGAAAGATGAGCATTTCAGATAAATGACCGTCTGGTACTTCCTATGAAACTCCCTTTAGGATTTCTGGTCAGTGCCGACTTCTATATCCAAGCCATAGTTATTTTTAAGGCTGTTTTCCATATTCAAGCTAGGTAGGAATAGGCAGTCCCTACTACCACTACCTCATAATCAATTCAGGTAAGGACATAGTAAAAAGAAGTGCTCAAGTCAGATGACTGCGTGGGATGACAAACACTACAATCTCAGTCTGAGCTAACTCAGTGTCCCTTCTTTAGGGCCAGAAAACAAGTTCCTGAGTTTGGAGGAAGGGTGGCTTTTCCGCTCCTTTACCTACTGACTGGGCTTTAAGAAGCGTTTCTTGTAACAGAATGTGGTTGATTCTCCTACTCAGATCTGTCCTCCCTTCACAGAACTGGCTAAAATTCTTCCTTGTATCTTTTAAAAAGAATAGACAATTCTTAAAAAGAAAGCTTAACAGCTTGAGACAAGCAAAAAATCTTCAAATGTCTACCCTGCTGTCTCTGGTATCCCAAGAGATGAGGCCAGTGGCAGCAAACTTATGGCACACGTGCCATAGCAGGTTGTGTGTATCATCGAAAGCTCTAAAAAGTTTGTCACTGTTGGACTAGGCACTGGAGTTAAATCAGGTACTTAATAAAGGAGTTAAACAAGTGTACGGCAATGAATGTTTCTGAACTCCTCCCAAGGACCCTTAGACTCATGTCTTTAACTCAGGGCAAAAAAGTGTTCCTTCTCAACAGCTGCAGAATCAGGCTCTATAAACATTATTGTGACACTTTAGAACTCACATAGAACGAGCTTAGAGGCACATGACTTGTTGGCTTTATTAGCACTGATACAAGTCAGAAATAAACCTCAAAACAACTCAAAAGCAATTTTAAAGAATTTCCTATATATCACTAAACATTCTTTGGCTTTGCTCTCTTTTCTGTACACTTTGATGTGCAATTTGTTTCTCCTGTGAGGTAAAACTAACTCAGTATTAAAATCCTAAATGCTGTGATTAAGGGTTCGCTATTTTCTCCAATCCAATTGGTTCTTTTCTGGACATATAAAACCAAGACTTAAATTTTTAACTAGGCTCAAATAATTATAATTTCTAATCGGTGTTCCAATCTCATGAACTTATAAAAGATAAAAACATGTTAATTAATGCACAATAAAAAAGTGTTAATGTGGGTTATAGAAAAGAGAAACTTGGGGAATCTGGGTCTGCTTTGCAACGTACTCACTTCTAGTTTTTTCTCCTTTTCTGACAAAACATCCTTCTGGTTCTGGGTGTACTCCACCAACATCCGAGCCAGCTGGCGCCGATCTTCCAGTTCTGCTGCCAGGCGTCCGTTATATTCTGCTAGTAACAGACATGCTTCATCTACTGTTTTTGAAAGACGTTCAGCTGCCTCTTTGTCTAAGTATAAATGAGACCAAAAAATAGAGACAACATGCAAATCAAATAGGTACAACTGCAACCACTTCTGGGGGGAGGTTTACAGTTTCTCTCCTGTCATAGAGAGTCCAAGAATAAGCCAGGACCTGTAGACAGACAATGAGTTGGCTGGCTAAGAAACCCAAAGGCTTTCACTCTGAATTACCTGAAGTGGGGTAGCTGTATAGAGAGGTAAAGCTGACAAGTATTTTTAAATGTCTATTCCTTCAAAATCTGTACAAACGAAACAGACAGGAAGATACATATTTTCTTTTTTTTCTTGGTACCAGGAATTGAACTCAGGACCTTGTGCTTGTCAGGCAGGCGCCATGCCACTGAGCTATATCCCTGACCCAAGAGGAAGACATTTAAAATCATCTATTAAATGATTTTTCTTGCTTTTGTGAACTTCAAACACTTTTGTTTGTATTATTTTGTTAAGTATACTTTTTATATTCCCCTGAAATAAAAAAGCTTTCCTTTCTTGGGTGTGTAAACCAAAACAAAAAATAAATAAAAAGCCACAGGACAAGTCCAACATATGATCAGCTGAGCTGGGACTCAAAGCGAGAACTTTATAATGGACCTGGAGTGTACTCTACCTCTTCAACAATATAAGCCTTGAGCCTGAGTATAAGCTCTCTTCCTACATTTAGCACAGTAAAGGGTTTGATAAGGAAAAGAGGCTTTCAAATGTTTTAGATCATGACCCACTGCAGAAATACACTATAAACATAAAAATAAGAGCAACATTTTATAGAACAGTGCTTCTGTTTACTACCTACGACTTCAAAACAGTGTTGGTCATTACCCACTGGACGGACAACAAGTCCAATTAATGGTCACAACTCATGCTTTGAGGAAAAAAAGAAACAGAAGTGGTAAACAAAGGCTCAGCACAAAGAAATGAGAAGAAACAAAGGAGGACCTGTATCTGTAAAGAACTGTTAAAATTATGTATGAATGGTAGTGAGATTAAAACTACAATGTGTTTATGTATGGGTACGCTGTTATCGCTTGCTTAATCTTTCTTTTCTTACATAGTTAATTTATTAGGATATTTGAGGCAAAAAAAAAGACAGCAAAGAAAACATCCAATTTTTAACATTTTAAAAAAGTCATTTTTCACCCTGAAGAACGTGTACAAAGAAGTCAACCATTTACACAAATAACTGAAACCCCAAAAAATGACTTTTTACAGTTCATTGAGTTACAAAGATAATGCAGTCCAAATGTAGAAGCAAGATCTTGCTTCAGGGCACTTACCTGCGGCTATGTCCAGTGCTCAGCCCTCCCCGATGCAGAGGAGCAGCTCTTGCAGACAGCTGCTCACCTATGCATGAGCATCCCTCTCCCTCCAACTGACACCGACTTAGCTTCTGTCTATATTTCCTGTGTGACATCTGTTCTTCTCTACCTCAAGAAGTACAAAAGCAAACCCACAGCTATTCCGACCAGCTAGCACCTAGCACTCTGTAGCTATCACTCCATTTCCTTGCCTTCCTTTTACTCCGTACACATTCCCCACAGCCAGCTCCTCTCTTCCACGTTACTAAACTGACTCCAATCAGGCGTTCAAACCAATCAATCCTCAACTCATAACTTTACAATCTGCCTAACAAATATCTGAGCACCTACTGAGTACCTGGGTTCTCCGAGAGCAGGGAACAAAAAGGATAAAAACTCTACTCTTGAGATTACAGTCTCAGATAGGAAAGGAAACCAAACATTCCAGTACAGTACATATAGGAGAAAGAATGGGGCATTGGGATGGGGCGGGACATAATTTTCAACAAGGTGTCACAGTAGGCATCAGTGGGGTGATAGATACATAACCAAGGACCTAAAGGCAGGGGAACATCTCTCGAGGAAGAAGGAACAGCATCAATCCAAAGGTCCTGAGAGGGAGGGCGCCTGGGGCCCGTAAGAAGCCCAAGGACTTAACAGTGAGCGAAGGGAAAGCAGTGAAGCCCACGAGGCAATAGGGGCCAGGCTGTGTGGGCTGTGAAAGCCTCTGGCTTTTACTCCAGACGAATGGAGTTGGAGGGTGGGGCTGTCCTGCTGGAGTGTTCTGAGCAAGAGGAGGTGTGACCCAACTTTGGTTTGAGAAGGTCACTTTATCATAATGTTGAGAACAGGATGATGACTGGGAATGAGGGACAAAGAAGTGGCAGACTAGAAAGGAAACTACTGCAATCATTCCAGGGAGCATATCAGTGACTGTACAGATATCAAGTACTAGTTTTGGTCCCAATCAACAGGAATGAGTTGAATTTACTGAGATGGTGAAGACGACAAGAAAAATCATTTTCAGAGGGAAGCTCAGAAGTTTAATTTGGAGCAGGCTAAGTTTGAAATGCTGGGCATGGGGGCGCATGCTTGTAATCCCAGCACTCAGGAGGCTGAGGCAGGAGGATCACTGTGAGTTCAAGGTCAGCCTGGGCTACAAAGTGAGTTCAAGGTCAGCCTGAACTACGTAGTGAAACCCTGTCTCAAAAAGGCAAAAAAAAAAAGAAGAAAAGAAAAAACATTCAACCAATAAGGAGGATAGCTATATGGGGCTCAAGTACAAAAGTGAGGCCAACAATGAGGATATAAATTAGGACACTATTAGTATAAAAAAGTGTTTCAAGTCAACAAACTGGATAAGAGCTATCCATGAAACTAGTTACAGAAGAGGGTTAAGAAATCAACAGTGAGAGGTCAAAGGGAAGTGAAGAAAAGCACCAAGAAGTAGAAAAGCCACTGCCAGGAGGAAAGCTGGAAGAATATGGGGTCTTATTTGGTACTGCTGCTTTAAAAAACTACAAATTAGTGGCTTAAAATGTCATAAATGTATTATTTATTACCTCAGCCCCTTCCTCCATCTCTGAAGCACATCCTGCAACTCTGCTTCCAAAGTCTTATCTCCTTCTCTCTTACAAGGACCCTATGATTATACTAGGACCAACTGGATAATCCAGAATTTTCTTCCCATCTCCAGATCCTAAACCCAATCACATTTACTAAGCTCTTTTTGCCGTACAAGAAAACATATTCAAGGTTCTGGTGATGCAGACTTAGGCTTCTGATGGGGGAGCATTATTCTATCTACCAAACTAAGTAAAGAAAGTATTTTCAGGAAGAAGAAATAATCAACCAGGTCAAAAGCTATCAGGGGGTTAAGTCAAACTAAGGGCAGAGAATCTACCATTGAAAATGGCAATGAAGTCACAAGCAACTCTGACACACGCAGGTTCAGTAAGGGAATCAAGACGAGAATAGTAGGGCAGAAAGTGGAGACAGCAAAAGTAATCCATTTAGGGTGCTGTGTTTAAAGGAACAGAAAGGGGTGTAATTGTAGGCCTGTAATTCTAGCTCTCAGAGGGCTAAGGCAGAATGATCAAGAGTTCAAGGCCAAGGGCTGTGGATTTAGCTCAGCGGCAAAGCGCCTGCCTAGCAAGCGCAAGGTCGTGAGTTTGGTTCCCGGTACCGGAGAAAAACCAAACAAAAAAAAAAGAGTTCAAGGCCAGCCTGGGCTACAAAGTAAGACCTGTCTCAAAAGAAAAGAGAGAAGGAGAGGAAGACAGGAAAGGGGGAGAGAGGAAAAGGAGAGAAAGAAAGGGAGAGGGGAGGAGAAGGAGAGAATGACAGGGAGACAGAGATTGAAACAGAGAGAGAGACAGAGAGAGAGAGACAAGAGACATAGAGACAGGAGAATATGAACCAGAGAAATAAAGCAGTGACTAAAGAAAGATATGACAAAGAACATTTTTTTCCTATATGGGGGAAAAAATACAAAATGTTATGGGGCTGGGGACAGCTCAATGGTAGAGCATGTACTTAGCATATTCAAGGCCCTGGATTAAATCCTTAGCACACTATCCATACAAAAATATTTTTATGCTATTGAGAATGATCCAGTAGAAAGACATGAAAGATGCAAAAGTGAAGGGTGTCTTCTCTCTCTTTCTCTCCTGTCTCCCTCTCTCTTTTATTTTAAGACAAGGTCTCACTTTGTAGTCCAGGCTGCCCTCGACTAGGTAAGAAGAAGCAAATTTAACTTACAAGAAGAAGGAAGGTTTAGAATACAGTGTGTTCATCCAGAGAAGTAAGAAGCTAAGGTTTATCAACTACTTTCCCTAGCAACATGCAGCTGCACGGTACAGAAAGGAGAAGAAACGCTGGGTTTCAGACTGACGGGTGCCACGGGGTAAGGAACGTAGGAGATGACTTATTGTTTAGTGTGTATAGAGTTTCAGTTTCACAAGACAGAATTCTGGAAACTGGTTGCATAACAATGTAAAAAGCATTTAACACCACTGAACTGTAGACTTTTGCATTATGTATACTGTACTACAATTTAAAAGTAAAAATAGGCTGGGGAGTAGTCAGCGGTACAGTGTTTGCCTAACGTGTGTGAGGCCCCGTCAATGGCCAGCGCCACAATAAGGAAAGAAACAGCCAGGTGTGCTGGTGCTGGTGTAATACCAACATCCTGGAAGGCTGAGGCAGAAGACAGCAAGTTTGAGCCCAGCCCAGGCAACTTATTGACCTAGCAAGAGCCTGTTTGAAAGAAAACAAATTTTTTTAAAGGGTAGGAGATATAGCTCAGTGTGAAGGCCCTACGTTCAATCGCCAGTGCCACATATAGATAAGTAAATAGTCCTTATAATAATTTTTTAAAAGTTGGATCTAATCAGTTTCAGGGTTTTGTCAGATGGCTACAGTAAAGGAGGAAAATTACGGATGGTGTGTATGAAAGGATAGACTCTGAGTATAAATAACGAGGACTCAAGGGTTAGACAGAGGTAAAGGGGGACACGGAGAGTGGCAGCTGCACAGGTACAGAAAGGAGAAGAAACGCTGGGTTTCAGCGTTTGCCTAATGTGTGTGAGGCCCTAGTCAATGGCCAGCACCACAATAAGGAAAAATGCTTTTCATCAGCACTCAGGAGGCTGAGGCAGGAGGATCACTGTGAGTTCGAGGTCAGCCTGGGCTACAAAACGAGTTCAAGACCAGCCTAAACTGCATAGTGAAATCCTGTCTCAAAAAGACAAATAAATAAATATTAAAAAAAAAAAAAATGCCTCTTCTGTGGTTTCAAAGGTTTCTCTGTTGCACTGTGTTGTCCCACTCAGCACAGGTAACCTTCAGGGATTTCTCTCTACTGCTTGTTGGCAATTCCTTCCCTCAGGCAGCATCGTGGCCTGTTCCTAATTTCTTTGGTTCTCTGCTCAAAGACCATTTCAAACTCCCTGGCACTTACTCCCTGAGGGAATACGGGTGGCACAGTGAGGGTACAATGAGCCTCCGACACTTGCTGCATGAAGGAAGTACTTCCTGAGTAGCCTTGACTTCTTTTATGTGAATATGAGGAATTCAGAGAAGCAGCTGAATCACGAAACTGGAGGGGAGAAATACAGTCCTCTGAAAAATAGTGGAATTGAAAGCTTGTACTCCTATCATGGAAAAAACACAGACCTCGCAGCCTAGGTTGGAACCTCAAAATCCACTACTTGTTTGACTTTGAGCAAGACACCTAACTTCTCAAAAGTCTTGATCTCTTTGTATGTAACATGGGGATACGCATTCAGCAATCTCCAAAGATCATCAAGCATAAAGTAACTAGCAGAGAGTATACTGTTAGATTAGTTCACACTTCATTCCTTCCCTTCAATTTCCTATGCACAAAGCAGGAATAGTTGCTCCCCTGTTTAACTGGGAGTAGTCAACATTAGGGCAACATGATATGACCAAGTGTACACTTGGAATTCTCATTATTGAATCATCTATAGGTTTGCCAAAATATAGCGTATAAATCACAAAGCCCTGTATGATAAATTATTTTCTTTCAGAAAGTCGTGAGTTTAAGGCCTATTTCCTCCCCACCCACACTGCTCCACATATATACAATTTGTACTGTGTTATCAACTAAGTTTATTTAAGGTGCCATGTTGTGGCATGTTGGCATTTCTGCAATAATTCTTTGAATCATTACTCAAGCTTTGGCTATTCCAAGCGTTTCTCTGTTCTGCATGTGATTCATCTGCAAATCACAAGGTGGCAAAGCATCACCCAGAAAAGTCTATGCCTGCAGGCATCAGCATGTCCTAGGGTTTGATGCCCTACAGGGGAACAACAGATCAGTCCCGCTTTCACCTAGACTCTAGCTTCTCACCTGTTATTTTTTCCAATAGAGAAACATCTTGCACTTCTTGAGGCAGAGAGGCAATTTTCTGTCGAACAGTTGCATCCCCTGATGCAGCATTTTCAAGATCCTGCAAAGCTTTAATTAGTTCTTCAGTCTATAAAATGAAAACACAATGATATTCATTAGGACACATAGAGTTCAAAGAAATTTGGTGGGAGTTAAATGAGGTGAAAGTAAATTTAAAGATGGCTTTTCTTGACTTCTAATAAAAATTGTTCTTAGTTCTAGAACTTATATGGAAGTCAGTGATATAGATTGCAAGGGAATGTATAAAATCAGTTTTTCTAGATCTATATAACAAAATGTGAATAAAATTTAATGTAACTGAAAGAACGCGCACACACATACAGTGTGTGCTATCTTATTAAATTCTTCGATTTACTTTATGAAATGATTACCTCCCCCATATGAAATGTGTAAAATTCATTAACTACAAAGGGGGAAAAACAAGGAAAGCAAATTAAGAATTCATATTCTGCATATACCAGTATCAAAAGAGATTTATTACACTGTCAGAAAGAAGCAGAATGCTGACAGGAAAGCCAGTCCACAGTGACTACAGATGGTTAATTTGATTACTCTGGAAAGTGATAATCGAAGCTATTCTCTTTTAAAGTTTTTAGGTACAGATGTATAACCTAATATAAGGTCATTAACTCCCAGCCTAATCATCATTTTCACATGATACAAACTAGACAGGGTTCTATTTTCATAAACTCTGAACACACCTATGTGTAATAGGCAAAAATAAGAGGCGGCATTGTGAGCCAGTGAAAAGGGAATGGGCTCTGAAGTCAGACAGACTTGGATTCAAATTAAGACATCGGGCCAAGTTACTAAGCTTGTCTTTTTGAGCCTCACTTTCTTTGACCTTAAAGAGATGAAATAAGGAAAACACAGACTTCATAAGCTAACCTAATAAAGAGCTAAACCATACAAACACATGACTAAAGACTGCATTTTACTATTTAAATAGGTTACAGTGTAGCAAGCTTACTATTGGCACAGACTGTCCTTAGATACTAATGAGCTGTTTATTTATAAAACAAACCACCAAGCTATTAGAGACAAGCCAAAGCACAAGACTTTTGAGTATCTCTATAGCATTATGTACCCCTTTCACAAAAACCTATTTTTAACAATATTTTTAATTTCTAGGAGTGCAAGAAAAAAAAAAAATCCAAGTACTTTATAAAATGTAAACTCATCCACAAGTCATGGTATGTGAGCTTCTCTGAGTGGCTCCTGCATGCTCTGCCCCAAGAGCTACCTTTTGGAGATTCCATACCACTGGTCACCAGCGCCACCTTGTGGCCACCATCTTCAACTAGCGGTCACTTCAAGCCACTTAGCCCTACTCTCTAGGGGTCAAACATACCAAGAGGGGTCCTGCAGAAGGATCCTGGGGAGAGTAGCTTCCCGGGTAGTCATCATCCTCCTCCTCCTGTATTTGCTGAAAAGTTCGCTTCAGAGATTTCTTCTCCTCTGTTGCTAGAGGAAAGGAAAATGATAAATCTGAGTCACATATCCTACACTTAAGAGTCAAATGCTACACACAATGGAACACAGGTAAAAACAGAGCAGAGGGTGTTTGCTTTCAGAGATGACCTAACATTAATCTTTATGCCAGTTATTTTAAATTGGCTGTAGTTCCTTACATTACTGAAGAGTCAAAAAAGGTCTTGGTCTGTCATCTCAAACTGACTCTGGAAAAATACTGAAAACAACCATCTAAAAGCAAAACACACCAAGTTTATCATATTTAATGAAAAACACAGTATCTTTAAAGAAAAAATCATTAGAAGTAAAATGGTAAGAAATTCATTAGACAATATAATGAAGTAAACCAATGTATACAAGGATTTAAGAATATACTGTACATAAAATTAGATATTTTATAGTTTCCAAAAATAAATGAGAATTCATCAATAAAACTGTGTTCTAGATTCCAAATACTGTACCAATATCTTTTAAACTATTCCTTTAAAAATAAAAAAACCCTAATTATACCTTAAAATAAAAAATAACCATTACTGAAAAATATGATTGACACTACTGGGAGAAATTACTAAGTTATTTTAATTTATCCACTTAGGTTCACAGGTTACCTTTTTATTATCTGTACCTTATGTCTTTATATTGTTATAACAAATGAGTTACTTTTAAAATCGTTCCTACTGCATCAAATTGGACAAGACAAAATAAATGCCAAATAACTGTGGGAAAATTGAAATGATAGGTTCTTGTTTAGAAAGTAGAGCTAGGGGCTGGGGATTTAGCTCAGTGGCAAAGCGCCTGCCTGGCAAGCGCAAGGTCGAGAGTTCGGTTCCCGGTACCGGAGAAAAACCAAAAAAAAAAAAAAAAAAAAAAAAAAAAAAAAAAGAAAGTAGAGCTATACTCTTCATGTGTGTAAGGCACTGCAATAGCCTATTTACATTTACTCTTTTCAACAATTCTAAGATATAGTATCTCCACTTCCCAGGTGAGGAAGCAAAAAGCCTGGGGAGGTTAAGTAACTGATTTAAAGGTATGCTCCCCAAACCTGTGCTCTTCCACTGCACTGAAATTATTAAGCACAACGCAAGTTCCCTCTCATCTGTCAAAAAAAGGGGGACACCAGGCACCCTTCAGAATTTTGTAAGTTACACGAAGAATAACTCAGGTAGAATATACACTCTTCACTAAAACAGTTTCTTCTGGAGCCAAGTATGTAGCTCTTATTTTCTACCTTACGCGTTAACTGACCAAACTATGATGTGAAAGCCAAGTCAACAGCATAAATCCTTTTTTTTTTGTCTTTTTGAGACAGGGTTTCGCTATGCAGTTCAGGCTGGCCTTGAACTCACTTTGTAGCCCAGGCTGGACTTGAACTTACAGAGATCATCCTGCCTCAGCCTCCTGAGTGCTAGGATTACAGGCGTGTGCCACCATGCTGGGCTATCATTTTTTCTTAATGTTTTGTTTGTTCTATACTAAAAAAAGAAAAATTGTAATACTTGTAGTTCTTGTTTTGCATTACTCTATTATGCACGGATTAGTTACCATCATTAAATATCAGTCCAACAACAAAGCTCAAATTTCAGTTACCATGCATATTAACTCTGTATTCTTGGTTTTGTTTTTTTTTTTTTTTTTTTTTTTTTTTTTTGGGGTACCAGGAATCTGCACTTGCCGGCTAGGCATTTGTGCCACTGAGCTATATCCTCGGGCAACTCTGTATTCTTGGATAAAGTACAAATTTCTCTAATACTTCAGCCCCTAAATTATGATCAGTAACCAATCACATTACTTCAAAGTCTGTTTAAGATGGACTACAGCACATCTGCTACTCAGTCCACACACAGAAGGCAAAGCATGTGGACATGCTTCCTCACTTCCCAGTGGCAAGTCCACATGGCAATTAATAAAAATGAATAAAAGAAATAGGGAATTGGCCGCAAAGATCAAAAGGCCACAAAGAAACTACAATAAAAGCTAAAGGTGGAATTAAAATTCCAGGGGCACAAAAACGAAGTTACAAAAAGGTTGAGTCAAAAAAAGAAAAAAAAAAAAGGTTGAGTCTTAGCCACAAGAACTTAGTAAAGAAAGGACCAAGGATATAGCCCACTGGCACAGCACCTGCCTGGCAAGTACAAGGTCCTGAGTTCGAATCCTGTACCCCTCCCCCAAAGCTATTTAAGGAATGACAATGTCCTGGAGGAAGAGATACTGACAGAAAACTTCATACCAAAGGAACTCTCAGGGATATTTTACAATACTGAGAGCACCGAGGATAAAATGTCGAAAGTACGGTTGTTCACTAAGCCCCAGAAAAGATCCTTGCTCTATATCATGAGCTCTAGAAACTAGAAAGCAAGTGCTGTTCAACTACTCTTTGATATACTGTTACAAAGAAAACACTTTAATCTTCAATGTTCCTAATTCTTTATCACATAATAAACTGTCTTACACTTTTGTGTTTCTCTATACATTTGTACACAACTGTGAGTTTTCAATTTTGACAAAAAAAAAATCACAGAACAATTTTAATTTTCTCCATTCTTAAGTTTTCTTTGTACAGTTTCAGCTTGCAGTCACCTTTAGTCTTGCACTACTAGGCAAAGCAAGGATTGCTGTATTTTTTAAATAGAAAATGTATTTGGGGATAGTTTCCATATGAAATACCTGATAGTACTTTGCACACAGTAGATGCTTAATTAATGTTCTGGCGTGCGGTATGACCCACATAAACATTCAGCCACTATAGCATCAAAGGAGTGATCATTACAATGTGAACAAAGATCAAAATAAAATTTACATTGTTTTGTTTGCTGCCAAGGACATAAAAGAGTACTCAATAAACTGTCAGATACAGTAAATTATAATTTGAAAATTTCAAACTCACACAGAAATTACTACACGTTATAAAATCCAAACCCTCAGGACCCTACGGAGCACTGAATTTTGGCGATGGAGCCTTAGATCAGCCTCTGCTTTCTGCACTTCATTTCCCTGACTTCACATCAAGGCTCACAGGCTGTGGCTGGTCGAAAGCCAGGAAGCTGGTCAGTTCCCATCTCAGTGCACAAGACAAAGCCTGCTGCTCCCTAATCAGGGGCTCTTCTAACCATTCATACTGCCACTCACCCACAGCACAAGGCTCAACTCAAACTGACACAAGATCACTGTAGGGTCTTTTCTGTTCTTTGCTGATGAAAGAGGATGCAGTAGGAGATGTAAACCACTATCAGCCTACTTCTCCAGTTTACTCCTATTTTCAACTGGAAAACCCACTGAGGGTACAAATCTAAGATTCCTCGAGATTAATTATTCGTCCTTTCTCCTGTAGGCTCCTATTCTCTGAGCTACCTATTTCCAGTCTGAAAACTTGCACTGGGCCCATCTTCAAAGTACAAAGCTTTGGAGACCACCAGAATCTACCCCAAAGTTCCACCTTCTAGCAGATGCTAACCACTAAGGGATGTCTAATCCTTTTCTATACATGGCCTCTTATTGATAACTGGCCCTTTATCCCACCTGTGGAGACCGCTGCCCCATCTCCCTGCCTCTAGCTGCTTTTTCCAGTTTAGATACACTCTATTATTATTAATCTGGTCTTTCTAAGGCTTAGCTGAGTGGCCCATAGTGACTGTACATTTTCCTCCTGAGTTCTAGCTCACCAATGGCAACATCACCTTGATTACCCCTCCAGTTCCCAATGCAGTTCGACCTCTCTTTTAAAGCACCTAGTCTTTATAAAGCTGCTGGCAAGCTTTCCTCTTTGAAACGAAGTATCTCATTCCTTTACCTCCGACCAGAGTGGGCAACCTCCTGAAGAGAGAGGAGTCACAGGGCTTGGAAAAGTGTATGCGCTACACCAAAAATGACATCTACAAAGCTGGCAGGTAATAGGCCCAGAATTCTCAACTGGGTTAGACAGTCACTAAAAATACCTAACAAAACTGTCAGTTACCTTCTTACATCAGAATTTTGTTTGTTTACTTGTTTATTTGTGGTGCTTGGGATCAAACCCACACTTTTACACAGGCTGGGCGAGTGATCCACCACTGACCTACACCCCTAGCACTTTCCATTTTAAATTTTGAAACAAGGTCTTGTTAAGTTGTCCAGGTTGCCCTTAAAGTTGCACCTCATACCTCATGTACCACCACACCTGGCCTATTACATATATAAAATTTTTGGTGGTGCTGGGGATGGATCCCACGGCTTCACGCATAGTAGGCAAGTACTCCACTACTGAGCTACACCCTCTGCTCCCTACACTGAAATTTAGAATAGGTTTTCCACTATCAATTCTGACCACAGTATTTATGCTCCCTTTTTTACTCACTCAAGCACTGTTTTCAGGAAGGGAAGACCCTACAGGTGCTCAATGTTTTCGTCTTCATATTGCCCAGCTTCTCTTCTATCCTCCAACTTGTCCCTGTTTCTCCAGGAGGCCTTGTATTCAGCTAACTTTCAAGTAATCCCGGTTACATAAGGGTATGGTACACCTCTCACAGACCTTGTGGTAGAAACTCCAGCATTACCGCAGGCTGGAAAACTAATCGTAAGGCAAAAAGCTGCCTGAAGTCCCTTAAGTCACACCACAAAACACAACTGTCTACCTGCAAAGCTGGATCTTCTACAGAATACACTTGAAAATTTCTAGGATTTAAAAACAAAAACTAACACTTGAGATATATATTACTTTTAGAAAAAGAATCAGATAATATTGTTGGCAACAGTTCCCTCATTGTTTGTCTCATCCCTGCAAAATAAAGAAAAGTTTTTAAAAAGCACATTAAATTTTACTCGTGGGAAGAAAACAGGCTGCGACAAAGAAAGGGTTAACATTTGAGGGATAGTTTTAAAAAGCAATCTGCCCACATCACCTCACTGAACTAAGCAATTAAATCCACACTAGAACCTAGGGCGGTAGGGCTGAGAGCTCACTCTCTTAATGACCATGATCTCCAGCCTTGCACAAAATACAGGGAACTGAAAACACCAAGTCCGTTAAATATTAGAACTGAGAGGCAAACAAAAATTCTATCATCACTCCATAATAATTTAGCTGCATTATGTCAAATAATCCTTATCACAACTCTAAGATCTTACTATTAACAGCAACACAGTGAGGACCTGAGCCCTAAGTCACACAGCTTTAGAAGTGACAGAGCTGAGATGCATACTCTGGAAACACAAACTTCTAAACTTCACTGAATTTCAGGCAAGTTGGGATACCTACTCATCAATTCACACCATCATTCACGTCCATTATATCTATGTGCTTCCAGGAAAAAATACAGTGCAAAGAACATCAGCCTTAAAGTCACATAGACCAGGGTTTGAAATCACCACTCATAAACTATAGCTCCTTGGACAAAATTACTATACCTTTTTAAGCCTTTCTAGCCTCACCTGACATGAAAATAATACCAAACTCAAAAAAATAATTGTAAAGATCTAAAGTAATACATAGACAGGCAGCAGACAAGCTAGTACACAACTGGTGCTCAATAAACTGGTTCCTACGTAACTATCTTTCTTTCCTAAAGCCTTCCAAAACTGTGTAATTCTATGTGATTCATGTATGATTCAAGTAAATAATAAATTTCTACCCAATCTAGCAACAATTTTAGTATCCCCAAGAACAGAAAGGCAACTTTAGAATACCTGGGCTTCGCACCTGGAGACAGATATATAAAAACTCAAGACGTCTACAGTTCCAAAACAAAATTCCTGAGCTTATCCACGCTCTCATGTTACAAGAACTGTCAAAGTTCCACAAGAAAAATTTTATTTCAAAAATAAACTCTATGAAATTGCTTGAAGATAAAGAATTACCCAGGAATAAAAGCTGAAATATAACAGACTATTCAAACTTGAGAACAATTTTCTGGAGAATTCATCAATATTTTGAAAGGACCATAGTAAAGTATTCTAGTAACTCAGATCCAGAAAGGACAGTGAGATGAAACCAATACACACGCTGAAACCTTCTGATATGTTTTCATCTTAAAGACTAACAAACCGGAACTATTTTTAGATTAACATTATCCTCCATAGATTCTGCCTCTTATTGTCTGTCTAGACCCTCAAAAAAAAAATTCAGAAACACAACGGAACTATTTTCAAGACTGCGACAATTCCCACTTGTGTGACAGCTCCCTGAGTGCAGAACAATTTCTCATTCCTCTTTTGCTCTTTCCTATTGCACCTAATTTAGTTGTTTACTCAAAGCACATGTCCAGCAAATGCTTGAATTGAAATTCAACACTGGCTTCAAGCATCCTTTTTCAGAGTTCACCTGTTTACCCTAAGGTGCTTTTAAAAATCAACACTGTTTACTAAATGAACTGTAAGGCAGAGTGCAGGAAAGAATGCTGGGTAATTCCCAAAGCTGCACAGAATAAACACCTCCAAAGGACACATTACCAACACTATCAGAATCCAAAGTAGGAAACATCTTGTTTTTCAAAAGCTACCACCAGAGTGACCCTACAATTATTTTCTAACAACTCCAAGTAAAACAATGACCCATAGTCCAAAAGCATTTATGTCATTCTTAGAAAGCCTCTAACCTTCAGTTTCACAGGAAAATTACTGCAAAATGCATGTAATTTTAGACCTAGAAGAGATCATGAAAGACATACAATAAAGCATTGCTGAATTAATGATACTGTCACACCTGCTAATCCCAATAAAGTCTACAGCAGAGGTGTGAACATAGTACTAGTGAACAAGAAAGGAATGGTTCCATGTACCCAGACAAGTAAGGAAGCTAGCAGAGCAAGAGCAGCCCTCTAGCAGAATGCATTCACGCAGTGAAAGGGGCAGAGGGACATCTCAGGCAGAGGTAAGAGCAAGTGCAGAGGATGGTGTGCCCACACAGCATCCAGAGAGCATGGCAATTCAGTATGGACAAAGAACAGAGTGTCTATAAGGGAATGGCAGGAGAAGAATCTAGAAAAGCAGGCTGGTTCAGATGAGAAAGGGTCTTCAATACTACTAGTACTTGGATTTGATCCTCCAGCTAATGAGTATGTAGCAGTCAGATCTGATCTACAGCTTAGAAATATATGCCAACTAGAGTTGGCAACCAGCCAGAAGTCAAATGTCAAAGAACATACTCATTAGAGGAAAAATTATAAGTTCTTATGAAGAACTTGGTAAAATTCATATACATACATGCATACCTCCCAAGACATCCTGGGGCCAGTAAAGATCAAAATGAATTTTAGAAAACAATCTGACAAACATAACATGTTCCAGAACCATAACAATATTTAATGAAACCAAGTTCTAGAAGGGCTTATCTAAGATCTGTAGTAGTTAATGGCAGGAGTAGGAAAAATCTTAGTAAAGGATTCTTCCTAATTAATCGCAAGGCTGAAGAACTTTGCTGTTCCTTTCCCTTTCACAGGAAAGTCTTTGAAAGACAGAAAAGAGCTGAGGAGAACACATAGAGAAAGTTAGGGAGTGAGAGAATGAACAGCATGAGTACTAGAACCAGGCTCGCAGACCACGAGCACCACATAAATTCTCACCATCATTCATGATCATCTTTCTCTGAAGAATCATAAAATTGCTCGTGGTTCACAGCACCCCCACTGCAGCTTTTCATATTTGATTCGAAAGTAGGCAAAGACCAAGAGCTGTAAACATGTGGTGATGTTTCTACCTTTGGGGGGAGGGCTCTTGGAGTCCTCCATAGACAGCTTCAGCTGCTGTATGAACTCGCCGCCATACACACTTCTTTCTTGCCAGATGTTCAGCAATCTTTCTAAAGGTTTTTTACAGCCTTCATCTGCCTCTCTGCCCAGAAAAGATGAAAAGATATATGTAAGCTTAAGATCTTTTGTTTTTATTTAGGACAGATTTACTTTTTAAAAAAAGAAATCAACAACTGGCTAAATGATTTGCATATTTAAAAACAGAAGGAAAAGTAAGACATATATTATGTTACTTGGATATCCAAAAACTTGACCAGAAACTGCCTTTTCCTGTGGTGGATGGGGAAGACAGAGGAATAACATTATAGCATAAAATTTCTTCCCCTTTGAAAGATAAGACAAGTAGTGGAAAAAGCCAATGGCTGATTCTTACAGAGAGAGTAATCAAAAGCTGATCCTATTAATGGTGACAGCTTGCTTTTAAGGAAGACCTTAGTTGTCAGACATTCCAGTGAAAATTAAAATGAATCAAAAACTTTAAAGAATTAAAAAGAAAAGATTAGAAAACACAAACGTTTAAAATGGGAAATTCACCACACTAATCCACCAACACCTCTACATGCATATATACATACAATTGTACACATACATTCCAAGACTGATCTCAACTTTACTTCGTAATTATTTTAACACTAAGTCTATGTTCCATGTTCACACAAGGGTGTTGGCTGATATCCTAGAACACACCACAAATAATGCAGTCCTTTTGTAATTTATATCTGAAAGAAGCTTGATAATATTGTTCCTGGCATGGAATATGATTAGTACTCAGTGTACATCTGCTGCCTACCATAACACCTCACACAGCAAGTAGAAGACTGGGAGAAGACTTTCTGAACAGAAACCAAATTTACTCACTACCCACCATGTTCCTGCGAACTGTTCTGTAAATTTAGTGAGGCTGTGAGGATGTCAATGATCTTACACTGAGCAACTTTAACCAAGAAAGAATACCTCAACATATTAGGACCCAAGTCAAGCATCTTTAACAGGAACTTCAAGAAGAAAACATACCAAATTCAACCAGATGAGAATTCTATACACCCTCAATCCTGACAGCATTTTTTGTAAAACTTATGCTAACATCCTGTGTGAAATAAGGTTTTACGCTGGCCTGGTTAGACTGTATTTTATGAATTGTTAGTGGCATACTTCACTAAACTGGGATCAAAGGACTACATCACCAAACATAGAAAGTCATTCTTTTTTTTATCAAACTATTTTATTTTTCACGTCAGAAGTTAGGGTGAGGAAAGAAGAGAAACCGTTCTGTAAATAGTTACATTATAGGGTTCAAAGACATGACCTAATTATCTGATATAATACTTTACTCCACCTTCAAAGATAAGTTCTTCTTGCCTCTTCCTCTGCTATTAACCTAGCCAGAGTCACTCATCTCCTGATTAAGTTACAATAGCTCCATTACTGGGCTCCTCGCTTTTACTCGAGTCCTCCTACATCTGCTCTCCAGTTCTAATAATTCCACCAGCTGTGTTAAGCAGATGATATTTCCGCCCATTAAAAGTGAAAGTCCTTGTAAAGCCTTCAAGGCTTTTTCCCACCCAGCCCACTGTTTCTTGGGCTTTATCTCCTACCCATGCTTTCCCTCCCACTTAAAATTTGCTTTGCTCCAGGTGGCCACATGGCTCATTTCTGCTCCTCCTTCAAGTGTATGCTTAGTCCCACACCACCTTCTCAGAGTCCTACCCTAATCTCCACATACTATACTTATGCACACTCTTTCCATGTGAATGTTTTTCCACAAAGGCACGAATTTATCTTTTCCCTTCCTGCTAGATGACCTACAACGAGCACAAATGGTTTGTTCAACTCTTCTTGTTTTTTGAAAAATTTTATATGACCATACAGTTAATTACCTTTCAATGATCACCTTTCTGCATCAAGGTCATGCATGTCAGAAATCAACTAAGTATTTACCAGCTCAAGCAATGGAGGTTTACAGAATACTATGCTTGGAATACAAAGAATAAGGTCTACTCCCTGACCTCTAGGACTTGAACCTAATAGCCCATCAGGTCTCTATCTCATTTCCTTTCTTCAACCCTATCTGGGGGTTCATATTCTAGCAACACCCAACCATACGTATCTTCCAATCAGAGTTGTTCTTTTTTGGTTATCTGCCATTGTTCATGCTATTGCCTCTACTATGAATGGAAACTCTAAAATGGAACAAGACAAAGAAAAAGAAGTTGTAATTCAGGTAGCTAAAAAATGTAAGATACGCATAGAAACAGAAGAAGAATCTGGAAGGACAGAATGGAATCAGATTAGAGGAGGCTGGGATGTCATACCAAGCATGTTGTCTACAGGCAGTGTGAAGCTCCTGTTGTGATCAAATGTACGATTTAGAAAATCGAAGTCTTGTCTAATATAACCCAAATCACAACTAAGCAGAACTTAATCAACTGGGTGGTACTTTTTACATAAAGTCTGTTCTCTGAAGATTCTGTTCATTTGAAAGAGAAACCAATTATCAGAACAGACTCTTATGGAGGCTTTAGGGGTGGGGAGGTGGGGGTACGATATCCATCCACCCACATCCATCATTCCCAGGGGCATTTGGGACTCCAGATATGACTGGTTTTCAGTACAGTTCAGCCACATACTAATTAATAGACAATACTGCTCAATCTTATTATAACCTCAAAACAGCTTCAAATATTTTCACTACTAAAGGCTGAAGTCAAAAGAGGGCTCTGATTTAATTAATGAACATAATAGTTTATTTTCTTGAACATTATAATCAAGCAAAGTTTTGCTTAGATAACTTTCAAAAGTTATAGGTAAAATATTTAAGGAATCTTTTTACTGATGAGGTTTTCAAATAAGCTCCCATGAACTGGAAGTCACTTTAGCACCTGGAATTAGACACAGTTAAAACAATAAAGCAATTTTATAAAAAGGGAACTGTCTTTTTAGGTTGCGTTAACTTCATTTTACATCAAGATATCTTTAAATGAAAAAACACTAAAAACTGTCATCAATCTTTAATACAGACAGCAAAAATGACCATAAAAGTGAAGACGTGCTGGGTGGGTGGTGCACACCTGTAATCCCAGCACTCAGGAGGCTGAGGCAGGAGGACTGCTGTGAGTTCAAGGTCTGCCTGGGCTACAAAGTGAGTTCAAGGCCAGCATGAACTGCATAGTGAAATCCTGTCTCAAACAAACAAACAAACAAACAAACACAAAAAAGTGAAGAAGTGTATTACATGCACACAAACAGAATTGCTGCTTGAAGTGCTGGCAGGACATCTGAGACTTGCCAAGCAAGGTTTTGGGGATTTTTTCTTTACATAGCTTTATGGCACTTTAATATAATCACTGTAATTTATACATCTGTCTTCTCCCTATGGGAGGCCCATTAAGAGCAGCACTTCTTTCTAAGTATGGCAGCATTTCCAATAACATCCCATGTAAAGCTTTAACAGAAATGTTCCTTTACAATTGCTCAGAAAAAAAGTTTAACATAGAACACTGGAGGCTACTACCCTTAGAAAAGCCTGTTGACAAGTTGGCCCTAGATGACATCTAGGAACGGGACTGCAGGAGTATTCCCATCATTTCCTGAATGTTTGGGGGGCTACTTTGTATAAACTGTGCAAACAATATGGTCCCAAATGAACACCTGCTTTCTTTCTGGAAGCCTGGAATTACCATAGATGATGCCCTACATGACCAATGTCAACAAAAACTCTGGGTGCTGAGTCGCTAATAAGCTTACCTATTGGACTTCATTTCACACTTGCTGTCACAATTCAATGCCAGAGAAATTCACTATGTTTGTTGTTACGGTTTGTGTCTGGGTGTCCCCCCCAAAGCCTCATGCGGCCATGGGGTAGGCTTTTAGAGTTTGATTGATTATGGGTGTGAGAGCTGCACCCGCCTGGGGTGGATAGTTTGCATATGTAAGGGAGAGGAAAAGGGTGCTTGAGGCCATTCTGCCCTGGTGTGTGCTTGTTGCTTAGCTGTGTTCTGCTGACATGAGCTGTAGCCTTCTGCCAGGTGCCACTCTGCCTTGTAACTTGCCAAGTACGGACTGAAACCTCCACAAACTGTAAGCGAAATAAACTTTTCCTTCCTTAATTTTGGGTGTCAGGTATTTTGTCCCAGCAACGAGAGAAAAGTAACCAAGACATTTGTGTGACTCCACCGGCAGGAACCCTTAAAAGGTTATACCTCGGGTGCTCTAGTCTTCACCACATGCCCCCTCTTTCCCTTTGCTGATTTTGCTTTGTATCCTTCAGATATAATAAATCATAGCTATGTGTTCCTAGGGGGTCACCATATCTGGGAATGATCTTGCAGACCCATATACAACAATAAATGTCATGTATATGATGGTAACTTCCAAATTTATGTCTCTAGAAAATAAGTTTCTATGGAGCTTAAAACTATTTCATGGCCAGGGATACAGGTCAGAGGTGCAGTGCCTGCCTGGCAAGCGTGAGGTCTTGAGTTCAGATTCCTGGTACCAAAAAGCCCCAAAACTTACATTCATCTTCCTACCTGGCATCAACCCCTAAAATATCTACCAGCCACCCCAAACTTAACATGCCCAAAACAAAGCTCATTCCCTCCACCAAATCTTTTCCCCACTTTCAGTTCAGTTATAGCACCCTCAACCACCCATTTACATCAAAAACCTATAAATCACCTTTGACTTCTCTTTTCCTGCACTACTAGTTCCCATACAACTCCTACCAATAAAAAGAAGAAAACATCCAATAAAAGGAAGCTCTCTTCTCACTGTTTGAGTCCTGGCCAGTGTCAACTGTAATCGGTACTTTCCAAACTCATGTCTCTGTCCTGTCACCAGCTTTTACAAATCCATTCTCCATGCCAATTCATTTCTAAAGAGGAATCTTTATAAAATCTATGTTGGAATATATCACTCCTTGGCTCAAAACTCTATAATGGTCACCCTATCAGAATAAAATCCCATCTCTCTCCTAAGGCTTGCAGGGCACACTTGACTGGTACCTGTCCACCTCTCTGATCTTATTTGGGTACCACTCCTCCCTTTTCTCACTATGTTCTAACTATACTGGCTTTCACTCTGTTTCTATCAAGGTGCAAAGATTATTTTTACCTTAGGTTCTGTTCCTACTTTGCATGATTATCTCAACTGTCACTTCCTGAGGCCCTCCTTAATCACACTGTGAGAAGAGATCCCACTCTAAAGCACCAATGTTGTTTTCCTCTGTTCATATCATCACTCTCTCAAAATGTCTTGTTCATTTCATGATTCTTTGCCCGTTTTGTTCTATGCTGCACCCCTAGTATCAGGATCAGTTATTGGCACATAGCAAGTGTTCAAATACTGTACACGCTGAACGAAAAATGCTATGTGTAACTATCTCCAAACAGAAGAAAACAAGGCACTTTTGTGGTGAGCATTTTTTCAGCCTGGTTCATTAAACTGCTCTTCAAATCAAATCTACCCTATGAACATGACAGGTTTCCCTGAACTGAAAGATTTTTATTTGGGGTTGAGGGTAGGGAATGATCATAAAGATGGGTTAACTACCTTTGCTCATCAACTGGCCACAGAAAAGGCACACAGAGAGCATATATTAGGGTATTCTTGGTTGATAAGGTGCATTAGGACTTAAGTAGATGTTGAACTTTCTGCTTTAATAATGGGGTAAGAAAGAAGCCTGGAAGCGTGGGCATCCTGAATATAATACCCAAACAGGATCTTTAAAAAGTTATGAGACGGGAATTAATTAATTAATTATTTTTTGAGACAGGGTCTCGCTATGCAGTTCAGGCTGGCCTTGAGCTCACTTTGTAGCCCAGGGTGGAAGACTGGCAATAGAAAGGAATTACCAGCAATTTTTTACAGAGAAAGACCAGGTTGAATCTAACAAGATGTTCTCACAGTGTTTCCTATATAGGTTTTAGGATGTTTCCAAGTAGAAAAGTGATTTTTAAACCTAGTATTACCTGCTCTTTTCTCCCACCTCTTACTTTCTCTTTTTTTCTCAGATCTTTTGAAACAGGGTCTCACTTTACAGTTCAGGATGGCCTTCAACTTACTATAAAGCCCACACTGGCCTCAAACTCATGGAGCTCCTCCTGCCTGAGCCTCTCAAGTACTGGGATTATAGGCACCACCCCACCTCTTTCTATTTATCCTTTTCTGATTTAAAGAAGTATTAATCAGCTAAATATTACTGATCAGTTTTAAGTAAGTTTTTTTTAACTTTTCTTATAGGAAATTATTTCAATTTCCTAAATCAAATCTTTCCCTCAATGAGTCAGTATTAACTCATTCAACAGATATTTATTGAATCCCTACTCTGTGCCAGGGCAGACCACAATGTTGCCAGCTCCTGGGATACCATTTACATCATGACTATATAAATGGTATTCCCTAAAGCTATGTAACCCAGCAACTCTACACCAGACAGCTTACTAGGTGCCTGGCAAATAGCAAGGGACAAAAAAGAAATGGTCCTTCCCTTCATGGAGTTTATAATCTAATATATTCTCATATACAAGCAATGAATGTGGATCAGGTAACACATTACATACTTTTCAACACAATAACTCAAATGAGATAGGGTATCATCCCCTTTTCACTCACACAGTATTCAAGGCATGTTCAGTGTCTTAAAAACTGTAACCTAAATCTCATCAAAACAAGAAATCCCTGTCTCCAGTTTCAGATAGCTACCTCTAGCAGTCTGTTCTAAAGCTTACTCTTACAAGGATTCAGTAATTTTTTTCAAGTTAATAACACATTCTGCTACTTTAGTGTATATATACATCCAAAAAAAAAAAAAAAAGAGCCATGCAGTTAAAATTTTTTCCATCTCTAGAAAGCTAAATATCCTTGTTGTGTTTTGGATTTCTAATTTTTTACCATTAAACTTTTCAAATTCTTCAAGGCACACTTAATTCCACATTTAAGGCCCTTTACTCACATCTTAGACCCTAGAATACATTTTTTAGATTTTTAAAAAAATTTTAAAGAAAGAAAAAAAACTGAAAATGATACAAAACAAGATGATAGGAAATTAACAATGGTTATTATGCTGCACATCGTTATTTTCACAGTAGTTGCTCATTACCAGATAAAAGCATGCAAAATTGACCAAACAATATAAGCACTGACCTTTCCTTTCAATGAACTAATAGAAATTAGTAGTACAATTACCTTAGCTATCTTGTGTATATATACACTTATCTTTTTTTCCCCCTTCCTTTTTTTTACTTTTCTCCCATCCCAGTTGTTCTTTCCTTTTTGAGTAGTTTCTTTCCCTTTCACTATATCTATTGTACTGTCTGGATCTTACTTACTCTTTCAGTTTCTTACACTAGGGAGACAATACAATGTCTGCATATGCAGGACTTGTTTATTTCACTTATGAGTATGGTCCCTAGCTGTATCCATTTACCTATAAAAGCCTCTAGTTTATCTTTCTTTATAGCAAAGCAGTACTCCATTGTATAAAAATACATCTTTTTTATTCATTCCTCAGTTGATGGACATTTGGGGTGTTTCCAAAATTTAGCTATTACAAATTGTGCTGCTATAAACATGGGTGCACATATATTGCTGTGGTATGATGTTTTCATTTCTTCTGGGAGAATATCCAGAAGAGGAATAGCTGGGTCGACCTAGAATAAATTTTAACTCATCAATTTTAACTCATCCTTTCACCCTTCCTAATTTCCTTTTGCAAAGACTTGTGTATTTTTATATTTACTTATAAACGTAACAGCCAACTAAAAAAGCTATCTCTTTGCTCCTCCTTGGAAACTAATTTGTGCCTACCAAAAACTGTTGCCTTAAATAAACAAAAATGATTTATAACACTTTTCATCCAATATATGCTTTCTATATTACTTGTACATGTGCTTTATGATCTAGTCCTCTGTGCCACAAAGCACAACAGTAGCAGACTTCATACAATCTGGACAGAGTATTTACTTTTCCACATTAATTACTGTTTTTGTACTTACAGTAATGTTATTATTTTTAGTAAACCAGACATGCAGAAGGATGTAAATAAGAAGGCATAAACATTTCCACTACTGAAGATGTTACCAAGAAGTTTCTTCATGCTATTGAGCTTTTTTTGATCATAAACTAATGAGACAACTCAACCAAACGTAGGGGGAAAAAAAAAAAATCACACTCAAGGGATAAAGTCAATAAATAAGGGCAAAGATATTCTTGTAGTATTAGGCTGAATCTCTTTAATGCATTAAAATGCTTATATGTCTGAGACAGTTCTTAAGGGCACAGCAGAACATAAAACCGTAATTTGGTCTCCATAACACTCTTTGTAACGTATAAAGTTACCAACTTACAAAGGCTATTACAAAAAAGTAATGAACAAAAAAGGTGGAAAAAATACTAAAACATACACAAAAACCAGACAACATACCTGGCAACATGAGAAAAGGCATCCACAAGGACAGATTCAAATTCTCTAGTGAATTCAGGTCCTTTCCTCTTACTGTTTTGGATCACATCATTTGCTAAGTACAGAAAAGTAAGCTTTCTATTTGATTTAGCTGAAAAAAAAGAAAAGAGAATAATTTAAATTACATTAAAGAAATTCTTAATTCACAATTCTTTTGCCGTAGAGTATTCCTAAAAAAATTAAGACAAATATTATCTACTTGTGGTCAAGCTTTGTGTTATTTTAACCACAGTAACTAACAATAAAAATGAAGATAATCCAGAGTAAATTCCTAAAGTATAAGTTGCCAATATTAATGTTAAAATGAAGGCTTTCATGTATTCTATTGCAAAGATGAATATTTCTAATGCACTTTTAACTATCAAACATTCCAGAATGAAAGGTTGAGGTGAGTTTCAATTTCAAAATAGATGCCTGTAACTTATGCTCCTAAACTGAGAATTTATCTTTGGCACTCCAATAACCACAATCAATCAATGATATCAACTCTCAAGCCCAAAGGAACCTCTAGATGTACCAAAGGATTTTTACCTCAAATACAAACATGCATTAATGAATGCTACATTGTTATCGAAAATTTATACACACCTAAAATCTAGATAATGCAAAATTATGGTTCCTACAAAATCCACAATTCTTCTCTGTTATATATACAAAATGTAACATTTCCTATTACTCTGTATGGTACCATACATTAAACCATAAAAATCTCATGCAACGTGCCTGAGTTACAGTTGCTTGGGGGAACATTACTTTCATGGTTTCTATGCAGATAACTTCTTAACTGTAAAATTATATTACTACCATTTTTGGTCCCATTTTTCTTTTAAAATAAATATGAACATAATTAGATATTTCAAAACACTAAGTCTTCTCCAATGCTAACGTACCTAAAAAACTCAAATAAGCTGCACATCAATGTTTACACACCTAAGTAAGTAGTCCTGGCTCGATGGCTCTCAGAAATTCTCTATTTCTTTTGAAATGCACAGAGCAGACATGGAATGTGACATTTTACAATGTAACTACAGGAGAATAACCCAAGTTAAAAACAAGATTTTAAAAGCACATAACAGTTTAAATTGATGTCTTAAAATGCTCATAAAATTAATCATGAATACCCTAAACTATATTAACCTGATAATAACCTCGTTTAGATGGTAAACTGATAAGACTATGAGAAACCTGGAGCTATCTTTTAAGTTTTAATCATTACACAAAAGCAAGAATAAATGTCCATAGTCATAATGTCATACCATTGCTACAAAGGTACAACGATGGCAAAAGGTATTTTTTTAAGCACAATAAGTAAAAACAACTAAATCTATCAAATGAAAGTTAGTGGATTAAAAAATAAACGAGAACTTGAATAAGGCAAATTTGGCTATGCAGCGCTTCAGAAAGTCCATATACTTTATGTTAAAGAACCGAGAATTCATATTATAAAATGTCAATTTGGACATTCATCACCTGACACATTTTTCATTACAAATATGGTATCTAACAACATCGAGAGCAAAGGTTTTCACTATCTACAATGTCAATCAATTTTCATCACTTCTAAACTTAACAATAGGGGTTTACTTAAAACTTGTATCCCTCTCTGCTCAACATCATAAATGGTCAGTATTAGCACTGTGTGTGTGTAAAGCACTGAAATAGAGTCAACAATACACACACATATCCTCCTACCTTAACCCTGGGTGACAACTTCTTCAGATGACCTTCCAATATGACAAAGTAAATCCTATCACTCTCTACCTAAGTCCATTCCAAACTGATACAACTAGTTGAGTAAAGTTTAAATAATTGGATAGTCAAAAGTTTTCACTTATTTGGCTGGTTTTGACATACAGAAAAAGTCAAGTGATTTTTGGAGATGAGTATGGTGGCACATGCCTATAATCCCAGCTACTCAGGAGGATGAGGCAGGAGGGTCACAAGTTCAAGGCCAGCCTGGACCATTTAGGGAGACTTTGTCTCAAAAAAATGGGGAAAGCAGTTGGGTGTACTTCAGTGGTAGGGAGCCCTTGAGATCAATCCCAGTACTACAAAAACAAAACAGTAATTGACAGGGAAGGGGAGTCTATATACATTCAGGCCACAATACAATTATGCATCTAAGATCCTATAAGAGCAATGTTCATCAAAGTATTCCATAAAGGGAAAAGCTATACTTTGAACAGCACCTAAAGGAATAAATTAAGAATAATTCCTAGAAAATGGAAAGAAAATGTATCAGGAACAGAAGAAAGTAATATTTAAGTGAGAAAAAGTAATTCTTGTACATCTGACAAGTCTTTTGATAGTAACTCAGTGAACATTTTAGGGAAAATGACTTCACTGTAGATAAAAGTGCCTACTTTTAAAAACTCGGGATATGGAAGAACCTAAGGGGCTAGTCAATTTGAACATTAGGGCACAAAATCCTTTGCCACTACAGTGTAGGGGCATCTTCAGTTCATGAAGGACACCTGGAAATCAAAGGAAGATGCATTCTGATGCTTGGAAAAGAACTCTAGTTTTACAGTGCTGAGATGGTAGACACTAGCTACATATGGCTATTGCACACTTGACTTGTGGATAGTAAAACTTTGGAACTGAAATCTTTTTGTACTTATTTAAAGCTTTAGTTTCATACATTTTAAGTGCTCAAAAGCCACATGTGGCCCCTTATTGGAAAGCATAGGTACCAAACACTGTAATTGCTACAAAAAATTGGTATTAAGCAGTGCTGTTTAGATCCTTTACTCAAACATGAAAATCTTATCAGAAACCACAATTTCATTCCTAAACTTTTAACCTGTGTAATAGGCACTATTATCATGACCCAGAGAAACAGTGACACAATTGGCCCATCATGCACCGACTGCAGTTGCCCACCCACGGATGTGTGTAAATCATTGAAACTTTGAACAACCCCTGGGAATATATGCCATACAACGAGCCACTCTTGCTCTTGCCATTGAGAACCAGAAAGGTCCAGAGCCAGTGGAGGAGCAGCTACTGAACAAGGACTCAGAGAACATGAGAATGCAGCCTAAGCCCACGGAGTCAGAGATCCAATGGACTGGGGTCACGAGAGCCGCTCGCAAGCTGTAAACCAGGAGGACCGTGCACAATACCTGCAGAGACTCATTGGAAGCCATTCTTCCCCTGACAGTACAGGCTGTGGTGAAGCTCTGGAGAAATCTGCAGCAGGATTCCTTTTGCCTGTGCTGACAGTTGGGGAGAGGACACTAACTGGTTGTGGGGTCCCAAAGCAATGGGAAGCTGGAGAGAAAAAGCTACAAAGAATGGCTTTCACCCCAGATAGCTCACTTGAGATGTTAGTAAGAATAGCCCCCTCAGTATTCTATAGCCATGATGAGGAGGAGGCCAAGGAGAGAAAACAAAGAGACTGAGAAAAAGCAGCTGCTTTTGCTGCACCACTAGGAGAAACAGATCCCAGGTCTGATTCCCGGGGCTCCAAGAAGAACTCGACAACTGCATTCATCTGCTACCAATGTTAAAAGTCAGGCCACCTCAAGAGGAACTGCCCTAAGAGGCCCCATGGGACATGCCCTGGATGCAAAGGAGACCACTGGAGTTCGGTCTGCCCTCTGAGGTGGAGGCCCCAGAGCTCAGACCCATGCTACCAGTTAGTCCAACAGGAATGAGAGGCCTTGGGGCATGGCATGCCTTCTCCCTCTGGCCAGACCGTCATCTCCATCAAGGAGTCCTGGGTAATCATGACTATGGAGGAACAAGAAAACAGCCTGTTGCTAGTCACAGGTGCAAGTCTCTCGGTCCTTCTTTTCAATCCTGGCCTTCCTTCCAGCCATCATACCTCAGTGAAAGGAGTCACTGGTGAGGAGGTAATATGCTATTTTTGACAACTCTTAGGCTGTAATTACTTATTAGATCCTTCTTGCATATCTCTGTCTTCCTGAGAAACCACTTTGAAGATACCACCACATATTACAGCAGCCATTGATATTTTCCTACTAATCTATCCATAACTGTGTTAAGTTTGGAATGTTCCTATCCTGTTTCATAATGTATGTTTATTATTATGTGTTTCCTACAACAACCATTGAGAATAGTTAATGATTTTTCAATATGTCACTCATGTATAGCTCTATTTATATTCTTTAGAAGCCACTTTGAAGATACCAAAGTATAGCATAACAATTCTTGATAATCTCCTACCTCTTTTGTCTCTAACTTACTATTATTTGTCTATTTGTTTTCCTGAGAAACTATTTCATAGATAATAATACGTAAAACGATAACCATTGATAATTTCCTACCATTTTGTCTGTAATTTGCTAAGTCCCCCCTATTATTATGTTATCCTTCTTTTATTCTTTAAAATAAAAAATTTAAAAAAAAAAAAAAAAAAAAAAAAAAAAAAAAAAAAAAAAAAAAAAAAAAAAAAAATAAAACCCCAGAAGATCAAATTTCTCCCTCAAAGCACAATCTAGTGAAAAAGAACTAAGAAAGAATGAAGTAAATGCGAAGTTGGTCTAATGGGGTGGGTGGTAGGCAGTAACTAATTCTACTAAAAGCACGATGGGTTTGTTTAGTATCAGATGACCAGCTTGACTTTGCAAGTGCACTGAGGTACTGAATTCTTGAAAAGGCACAAGTTTTGGCATCAGTCAGCCCTAGGCTCAGGTACCATATATCTGCCCCTGAACAAGTCACTTATTCTCTATCCTAATCTTCTTATCTGTAAAAATGGAAATAATATCTGCCTATTTACAACGTAAGTCTTTATCATATGAAATTAGGGATAAGGGAGCTTCATTGATGAATGTACTCTATTATAGTAATATCTTGGATGTTGAACTCAATTCATTCCAAATTCGTATTCAAATGCCACTAAGTTCAAGAACTGAACAAATTTTTCCCATAAGAAATAATGGAAAAACAAGTAATTGGTTCTGAGACCCAAAAATTACACTTATAAATTCTTTTTTCCAGGACTTCAACAAATCTCACAATGACTTCTTTAACTCTCGTGGTTCTCAGTTTTCTTCTTTGCTTTACTGTTCATATCACTAACTTTCTTTGGAATTATAGTTATGATACTGTACACAAATACAGCACCAAAAAAAGAAAAAGCACAATGACCAATGTTTTAGTGCACTAACACAAGCACTGTATGTTGTCTGGGTGAAAGCAGCCCCTGAGATGGAAGCATCACCCTTGTGTCCCCCACAAGACTCACTCTTGGCCCAGGCATTTTCCAAGTCAGATATTTGATTAGACTATAGAGCAAAGTTACAAACACCAGGCAGATTTTTTTTTCAAACTTTTGCTATTGAAGTAGTAGAAAGTTCGAGCTTGGGGCATTTGGCAACAAAGGTATCACTATGTTTTTCAGTAACTCAGAGGGTAAAGTGAGGAATCAAAATAAGTGACATGTGAAATGAGCTTTCACAATCTCAAGATGATCAAAGAGCTCCTACCAGATAAGATTCTGTAAACAGGCAATTTGCATTTTTCACACCTTACAAATATCTGAATGGCACAGTGGGGCACATGAAGGAGGCTCTGGGAGCTCCAGGCTCTACCCCTGCAAAGGCCCAGAGCACTGAGGGGATCCCTATCTTAGCCCAACTGAGGGGTCTCTGCTAGACAGCTAGAACTGGGTCGCCTGAAACAATCCTGAGGCTTGGCATCTACCAGCCTGAGGTAGTCTGAGGCTCACCAGTTCAGAGGACTTGAAGATACCACTTAGCCACTTCAGTTTTCTTTTCTGTAAAGTAGGGTGACATCAGAGGTAGTAGAGAACACATATAAAGTCACTTCCTACACTATACAGGGCCCACTGCACATAGGGTGTCCAGAACAGCGCTGAGCTTCCTTTCTTTAGCCTTCTATCATGAAACTTCTCAGGATATCAGTAGGTGTAGGTGCCCACCTTTCCCCACCAGACTGTAAGCAACTTGAAAGCCAAAACCATGCCTCACACTGAGTGATCAACAGTCCCATCACACCAGGATTGAATGCCCACACTGTGCATGGACAGCATGTTAACTGTTCATCTGGATTACCGTTTATTTCTTACCATGATTTGTTTATTTGACCCTCAGATTTTCTCCATCTGCAAAGTTCCTACTTCATTAGGCTCTGAGAATTTAAAAAATGACGATGTATGCAGAGATATTAGCTCTGCACCTGGTACCTAATAAAGGTAGAGTTCATATCAGTTATCATCTTCATTTTGTAGATAAAGAAACTAAGGGTCTTCCAGGCTAAGTTCTGGGGTCAATAAGTATCAAAGTCAGGCTTAACTTCCAGGCCGTTGGCAGAGGCATCCTGCTATTGTGTTCAACACGGTGCCTCGCACAAAACAGACTGAGTTCAATGAGTCTGTCACACCTTGAATAGGGCCTGAAATCAATGGCAGGAGCATAAGGCTACCCACTCTACAGGGCGATCAGAGGACTGAGTGTGAGCATATGTACACAAAGGCCTGAGTATAGTGACTGGCAACGGGTTAAAGGCTTTGTAAGTGGCAGCTTACAAATGAGAAAACAGAGGCATAGGGAGATGAAGAAACAGGCCCACTATCGGTCAGCGATGGCTGAGCCAGAACCTGATCTAAGCAGAGTGACTCCAGGGCCCTCTGGCTTTTACTCCAAATGCTCAACACTAGGCCTGGCGCCCCCTAACAGTCTAGGGCTAGTACGGGCGCCGAAGGCAGCAAAGACAATAGTAATCGCAAGCGTCAGGAGCTAGAGGGGAAACCAGTTTGAGAGTCTGGGCACCCGAACCCTGGTTCTTAGTACCTCGGACAAGCACCTTATACCTCTCACGGGTGTGTTTCTTACTCTGAAAAAAGGGACACAACACCGTCCCCGGTCTCGGAAGCGCGAGACTGAAATGCGAGGCTCAGTTAAGAAACCATAAAGGTCTGGGGAGTGGGAGGGCTCAGGGGAGTGGGAGGGGATGTTTACCTTTGCGGAGCTCGCGGTGCCACACAGAGACGATGGGTCCTGCGTGCTTGCGGTGGTGGATGAGCCACAGGGAAAGAGTCTGCACGCTCTGCTGAGAGTTGCTCAGCTCCGAGAGCTTCTTCTCCAGCGCCGACTCGGAGAAGGAGGACATAGTGGCGGCGGAGAGGCCCGGCAAGGAGCGGCCTGGGCCGCCCAGGGTAATAAGGAGAGCGACCGCACAAGCCCTGGGCCTCACCTGACAGACTGCGGGACTCTTTACCAACTGACAGATCGCCAGAAGTGCAAGGCGGGGGAGGGGATGGGTCGCTGCAGTAACAGCCGCCCGCGTCTCCGCCACAAGATGGCCACCGACCTCTCACCCCGCCGCGGGAGCGAGGTCAAAGGGCAAGAGCCGGAGTAGCCGGGCACCAAGAGGCGTCGGAGCTGCAGAAAAACGCCGCTTTGTAAGTGGTGGCCTCTCTGACCCTCGCTTGGAGCACTTCGACAGAGCGAGACAGAAGGAAAGACCTCAGTTTCTCAGGCCCGGAAGGCGCTTTGACCGCTCCTGCCGGCACGCCGGCGCAATGAGCCTCACCGAAACCCTTTCTCCCGCTCCCGCGGAACCTTTCTGGCGCGGTATGGCGCGCTACTTAGGGCGTCACTTCCGGCAAGGTACTGGAGGCGGGAGAGTGAGGGAAAGGCTGGAAGACGAGGTAAGAGAAGAATGGCGGGAAAAGAAGGAGGCCAGCAGCTGGGTGCCGTTAGAGGGGGCTCTTGAGGAGACACTAAGCCTGAGAGATCATGACCTTGGTGTAGGAGGGAGACTTTCTCCCTCACCGGGAAGGCCCCAGGCCACACTTGTCCTCTATACGTACGTATCCTGCTCTTGGGCTGACCTCCAACCCCGAACCCAGCTCCTTTCTGCTGCTTGTGAGGAGCCCGTGTGCCCTTCTCACACCTTCCCCCCTTGCCTCTGGTTCTCTCTACAGACATGATTCCCCTCCTGCTCGGCCTCCAGGACCACCCTTACATACCCTGTTATGATGTTTAATGTGTTACAGTACAGTCTCATGAAAAACACGTTTGTACTCTTGGCTCTTGGTTGCTTCATTCAGGGAATAACATCTGCTTTTGCCCTCCACGTGCAGCCACTGACCTCTTAGGAAGCACTATTTGAGACTCTAAAGCTTTATCTTTTTCTTTGAGAGTTTTAAATTTCAGGTGTTAAATGACCAGAGAAATTATCTTTGTAACTGCCATGAGTGTCGCGGTAGGTAGCTTTTCATAGACATTACAGAATTCTAAAATTTCCTAATCAGTGTTGAGCATCCTACTTGTAGGCCTGCCCTAGCTTTGGAAACGTTCTTCTTGATGCCTATTTTTGCTTTTACTGCATTGTCATTCTTTGCTTTATACTTTTATCCAGATTAGAAGCATTGTAACCATAGCTAACATAGAGTGCTATGTGCTAGACACTTTCCACATGGTACCTCATTCAATCCTCATAACGAAGGTTATGAAATAGGTCTACTCTTTAACAAATGAGGAAACTGATGTGCAGAGAGGTTAAATGACCCTCCCAAGATCATACAATTAAGATTTGAGAAAGACATCTCATGCAAGCCATCCTGTTTGCTCTAGCATTTGATTCATAGTTGATTGAGTGAATTAAAAGAGGCTAATAACCTAAAACCCAGTCAATATCTAGTCATGATTGTAAGCTAGGGCTTTTGAATACACACCTAGACCATCTTTCATTATGAAGTAACAGTATCATATACTTAGCACTTTTATACCAAATCATACATATTCACCACATTCCATACATTTTGTTTTGTTTTGTTTTGAGACAGGGTCTTGCTGTGTAGTTCACAGTGGCCTTAAACTCACTGTGTAGCTCAGGCTGCTCTCAAACTGGGCGGTCCTCCTGTCTCAAGCTCTTGAGTGCTGGGATTACATTTGTGTCCTCAGCTATATTGTTTTATTTAATTCTTACCACAATCCTATGTGTTGGGTCTGATTATCACTATTGAAGATGAAAAAACATAAAACCTGGATAACTTATCCATAATTACTCTTTTTTGTGTAGTTTTGTTTTATTGGTAAGTTTTAGATACACATAATAACATTCATCGTAGAGAATTTGTACCTGTACATGATATATCTTGCTTTTTTCCCATTCCCCTTCCCTCCCTTCAACCCCTTTCCCTTCTTATTTACAAAAGCTTCGTTTCCATTTTTTCTTTCTATTCTTCCTTATCCATTCACTCCTTTACCTCTCTTCCCTCTCTTGCTCCTTTCTTCATCTGAACATTTTCTTCCCATTTACCAATATCTGTTATACATTATGGTCCTTATTTACACTTTCGGTTTCTCACACCAGAGAAACAATGCAGTTTTTAAACGTGTGTCCGATTTATTTCACTGAAGAGTATGGTCTCAAGGTGCATTCATTTATCCAGACATGTCTCAAGCTTATCTTTCTTTATGGCAAAGTAGCTCTCCGTTGTATAACCACATACACACACATCTTCTTTATCCATTCATTAATGGGCATTTGGGCTGTTTCCAAGATTTAGCTATTACAATCTGCTGCTATAAGCATGGGTACACATATATTGCAGTGGTATGATGCTTTTAATTCTTATGGGAAGGTACCAAGAAGGGGAATAGCTAGGTTGAGTGGAACTTCTGGTTTTAATTTTTGGAGAACTTCCACACTGATTTTGACAGTGGTCGAGCCAGTGTACACTCCCACCAACAGTCAACAAAGGTTCTTTTCTCCCCACAGGCCTGCCAGCATTTGTTATTGGTTTATTTCTTGATAATAACCATTCTTTCTAGAGTGAGATGGAATCTTAACATTGTTTTAATTTTCATCTCTCGAATAACCAGTGATGTTGCACATTTTTCCCCCTTTTTTTTTTTTTTTTTTTGGTTTTTCTCCGGTACCGGGAACCGAACTCACGACCTTGCGCTTGCCAGGCAGGCGCTTTTGCCGCTGAGCTAAATCCCCAGCCCCTTTTTTCCCATTTTTACTTCATCTGAGAAGTGTCTATTCATTTCAGATACCTGTTTTTGCATTTGGGTCTTTAAATGGGGGAGGGGTCTGATTTTTTTTTCGAACTCTTTATATATTCTGGATATTGGTCCTCTGTCTGAGGAACAACTGGCAAAAATTTTTTAGGACACTTTTGGTTGTCTCTTTACTCTGTTGGTGGTTTCTTTTGCTGTGCAAAAGCTTTTCAATACAAAGAGATCCCGGTTGTTGATTCTTTGTGATACTTCCTTTGTAATTGGGGTTTTATTTGTAACGTCTTTGCCTATACCAGTGTCTTCAAGAGTTCTGTCTATTCTGTCTTCCAGCAGATTTAGTGTTTCTGTTTTAATATTTAGATCTTGATCCATTTTGATTTTAGTTTAGTGCATTGTGAAAGATAGGGGTCTAGTTTTAATTTTTGGCATGTAGAAAGCCATTTTTTCCAGCACCATTTATTAAAAAGGCTCTCTTTCTTCCAATGAAGGCATTTGGCTCCCTTGTCAAAGATAAGGTGGCAGAGTATGTTTGCAGTTGTTTCTACATCTTCTAATCTGTTCCACTCACCATCAGATCTGGTTGTTTGCCACTGCCATGCTGTTTTTATCACAGTAGATTTGAGTATAATTTCAAATCAGGGATTGTAATGCCCCCTGCCTTGTCTTTGTTGCCCAGAATTGCTTTTGATATTCTAGGTCTCTTCTAGTTCCAAATTAATTTTAGGATTGTTTTCTCTAATTCTGTGAGGTGTGCTATTGGTATTTTGATTGGTATTGCATTAAATCTGTATAATAACTTTGCAAATGTGGCCATTTTCACTATATTGGTTCTTCCTGCTCAAGGACCAGGGATATATTTGCATTTTCTGATATCCTCATTGATCTCCTTTTTCAGAATACTGTATATTTCAATGTAAAGGTCTTTTACTTTCTTTGTTAGATTGATTTCTTTTTTCTTTTTTCTTTTTTTCTTTTTTTCTTTTTTTTTTTTTTTGTGGGTACCAGGAATTAAACTCAGGACCTAGTGTTAATTTTTTTTTTTGATGTTATTATGAAAAGTTGTTTCCCTAATTTCTCTCTCAGGGGGTTTGTTATTCCTGTACAGGAATGCTATTGATTTTTGAGTGTTGACTTTGTATTCCCTATCTTTTGTATTCAGCTATGCTACTGAATTTGGTTATTAAATTTACAAGTCTCTTGGTGGAGTTTTTGGCAACTTCTATATAGACTATCATGTCATCTGTAAATAATGATAATTTAACGTCCACCTTTCCTATCCTTACTCCTTTTATTTCTTTCTCTTGTCTAATTGCTCTAGCCAGTGTTTCCAGAACTATATTGAATAAGAGTGGTGACAGTGGACATCCTTGTCTTGTTCCTGATTTTAGAATGAAAGCTTTCAGGTTTTATTAATTTAATATGATATTGGCTGTTGGTTTGTCCTAGATGACTTTTATTAGATTGAGATAAAGACCATCTATTCCAACTTTCTATAGGGTTTTTATCATGAATAGGTGTTCGACTTCATCAAACACTTTTTCTGCATCTATTGAGATGATCATATAGTTTTCATCCTTGGCTCTGTTAATGTGGTATATTACATTTATTGCTTGCATATGTTGAACCATCTTGGATCCCTGGGATGACTCCTATTTGGTCATAGTATATAATCTTCTTGATGATTTGCTACATTCTGTTTGCCAGTATTATATTGAAGATTTTTGCATCTAGGTTCATTAGAGAGGTAGGCCTGTAGTTCTCTTTTGGTTAGATACTTCTCCGGTTTTGGTATCAGAGTAATGCTTGCTCCCAGGAATGAATTTGGGAATATTGCTTCCCTTTCAAGTTCATTAAAGAGTTTGAGAAGTAGTGACATTAGATCTTCTGTAAATTTCTTGTAGAATTCAGTAGTGAATCTGTCAGGGCCTGGGCTTTTTTTGTTGGTAGGTTTTTACTTACATCTTCAATTTCACTGACTGATACTGGTTTATTTTGAATTTTTATATCTTCTTGATTCAGCTTTGGTAATTCATATGTATCTAGGAATCTGTCCCTTTCCTTTGTGTTTTCTATCATATCTTCTGGATTTCTACAGGATCTGTTGTGATATCACCCTTTTCATTCCTAACTGCATAGATATGAGTCTTTTCTTTCCTTTTTATGATAAGGTTGAGTAAGGGTTTTCCAATTTTATTTAATCTTTCAATGAACCAACTCTTAAATTCATGGATTCTTTGTGTCATTTTCTTAGTCTCCGTTGCATTAATTTCTGCTCTGATCTTTATAATTTCCTCCATGGTATGAGCTTTAGGCTTGATTTGCTCTTCTTTTTCTATAAGCTTGAGATTCAATGTTAGGTTGTTTATTTGAGCACTTTTTCTGCTATGGGAATTCACTGCTATAAATTTCCCTTACAGGACTGCTTTCATTGCATCCCATAGGTTGCACTAAGTTGCACTGGCATTATCATTTAAGTGTAGAAACTGATTTCTTCTTTAATTCCATCTGTGACCTATTGGCTGTTCAGAAAGGTATTATTCACTTTCCATGTGTTCATGAAGTTCTTGTGGGTTTTTTTGCCATTGAGTTCCCATTTCATTGCACTATACTCAGATAATATGCATGTTATAATTTCAATTCCTTTTCATTTAATTTTCCTTTCCTCATATTCTATGAG